ATTTGTTTCTCCATTTTATACAATTCCCAAAAACCCAATAAGAGCATGCAATGTCATTATTTTCAGATGCCATATTCTAAAGATTTCTATCTCGTGCTTCCTGTATTTACATAGTTTCTCAAACGTGGTTTACTTATTAAAAATTACAGCTATCAGGGATTCCGTTTCTCTTTTCAAATGACGTCTGCTCGACTTCGCTAGTATTGTAAACTGTCCGTGTTCAAATCACACCCGAGTCTATAAAAACTGTGATTCGGTTAAAACTTTGAACAATCTCGGAATAATCGAATTTAACACATGCATAGATGTTTTATATATATATATATATATATATATACCTTTATATAGAGACCTAGGTGTACCAAAGATCAGAATGGGAGAAGAACATTCAAAAGTTTTGCCACTACGGCATGAGTTAGAAGAGGAAAAGAAGAGGAAGAGAGAGTGACTCTATGCGTTTTGCTTTTATATATTATACTTTAATTTCCGAGTAAATATATTCACACATGAATGGATGTCTATATGCTTCTATATAATAAATGCGAGTGTCACTGTGTCAAACTTTTTCAAATTTACTCCTAGAGGTCGTAGCCCAACATATCATATCATTTTGGAATCAGACTGACTCTGTGAGCAAATTAAAAACATTCCAGACCGGATCTGGACACGCAATTCTGAAATTTTGGATTCCGAAGTTTTCATTACTGCGATTGCTTTCAGAATCCGCCATCTTCGCTTCGACTGTTAAAAACAATTAAAATGGACACAGCTGTCTAATTTTCAATAGCTCATGTTCAAATGGAAAAATTACTGTTCTCAAATTACAGTGTTTCAAAATAAAATTTCCACGCTTTCAACTCTACATCTAGAGGTGTATCCCAACATATCATACCATTTTGGAATCAGGCCAACTCTGTGAGCAAATTAAAGAACATTCCGGATCAGATCTGGACCAGCAATCCTAAAATCTTGGATTCCCAAGTTTTCATGACTTCGATTGTTTTCGGCGATTTTTTACGTGTTTTTTTGAGACGAATTTTTTGTGCAATCACAATTTTCAAAACTTGGAAATAAATTTGGGAAGAATCAAAATTAATTGTGAAATCCAGCGAAAAGTCACCCATGAGATAAAAATAATTGTTTGTACGGAAAGTAAGGACCTACGCACATCAAATTATCTTTAAATTAAGTGACAGCAGAAGAATTATCGTTGAAACTTTTAAAAGGTAAGCTTAAATATTAATGCAATTGATTTTGAGTTCTTCTGTAGTTTATTGTTGCTTATTGTATCTACCTCTCCTTACCTATTGTGATGAAGGCTCAATCAAGAGCCCTCCGCAGGAGCTATAGGTGTAATGCCGCCCGATAGTTTAAGCTAGTTTATATATATATATATATATATATATATATATATATACATATATATATATATATATATATATATATATATATATATATATATATATATATATATATATATATATATATATATATATATATATATATATATATATATATATAGGTGCATCATATCTCAGAAAAAAAAGAACAATGATTTTTTCAACAAATTACTAAACTTCTACCTCGACTGAAAATGTGACTGACAATATATTTCTTTGAGAATCCTGTAATGATATTAGGTTGTAGTCAGTGCTGGCATCCTACCTGTTAGCACAAACCGATATTTAACATTATAAAAGCTCGGGGAACATGTTAGATTATCCGACAATAATCTTATATATTAATAGCCGATAGATAATAGCTAAAAATATAATTATTAGCATTTGCTGTTTAGCCCTGTGGAACATGAAAGAAGGTTTTCTGTGATGACAAAAGAAATAATCATGAAGTTAAAGATATGGCAAATATTCTAGTCATCAATTTAATAGGTCTTCTATTGGATCTTTGAGTCTGCAGTGATTCTGTTCGACTGTGTCTTAGAAACCATAACACAGCTGATGACTCTAGATTCAAAAAGCATCAGACTTCTGAACAGAAATATGATGAGAACAGAATTTCAATCTTAATAAATAAATCTTTTCTAAATGGTTTAATTCTTTCTGATACTATAAAGTGATTTGTTTCCATTCTCAAATTGAAAAGAAAGTAAGCAGAATAGCTTCCTAAAGATTATCTGCCTTTATAGAACCTTTTCCTTGAAATTTGAATATGCCATAATTGGATGGGCCTGACTGTTGGGTAGAGGTTAGGTTCTCCATAGAATTAGTCGACAAACATGTGGGAAGTGGAGTAATGTTTTACGTTAGTATTTTCTTATTCTTCTATGTGTCCCTTCAGGGCGTGGGTGATAATGGTTCTCCACAATTTCCTATCTTTTGTAGCTCTAAGGAAATTTTGTTTTTCGCTCTTAATCCCTGTTCTATCAACCATTTACATAAGCCAGGCAGGTAGTTTACGCGCCAATTTCCTCTGCCACTGGCTTCAATATATCCTGTCAGTGTCAAATTTTTTAAGTCTTTTTTTTCTCATTATATATTTTTAAATCGTTTCACTCCAAGCAAGCCGATAATGCCACTAGAACGCAGAAAAGGGGGGTCTATACGGACTAAAAGTGAAACAGAATAAGAAGACTGAAAACTATAAAGAGATTTGTATACATTCTCAGGTTGAAAATAAAATAAGCAGAATAGGTTCTTAAAGATTACCTCCTTTGATAGAACCAGTTCCTGGAAATGTGGACTGTCGTTATTGGTTGTAATAAAATATTGTATGTCTGGGGATGAAGAAGTTTCCCCGGAAGACACGACTTATCACTACATCATCCTATTGAAGAGGGGAAAAGAAAGAAAGAGAGAGGATTTATGCTTTATTTCCCCTTTTATACATCATAAAGTAATTTCCTGTTTTATATACCTGTTCCTCGTTGCCACAACAGTAGTTGAGATTTTCTTATTTTCATGATATAAGTTGATCTCATTCTTTAACTGATCTGTTACGAATATTTGGCAAATTCCATTTTGATCTTTTCCCCTGTAGACCCCAATGCCTGTGAATGCTCATTGTCCTGCATTTCTTTTTATAAATACACTGTGGATATCATCTCGACTACCTGGTATATCAATTCATCGATTTGTATTCATCTATTGTCCAGTTCAGGAAATACCCCGAGTAACTAATTATATAAATTCATTCATTTTTGTAGAAGAGAAGATAGCTTACCTCGTGTGGCAAAGCGAGCATGTAAATACCTCGCATGCTAAACAAGTGAAGGGAAAGCAAAATGAAATATGGCTGCCCTCACTTTTTTTTTTTTTTAAAGAAAGACACAGTCTCGGAGCTAGGAGAATTGGCGAGAGTGGTTAGGCGTATGCAAATTTTTGGCGAGATCAGCCCGGCATAAAAAACACCACGCAATGATCATAAAAAATACCGTGCATGTCTCTATCTTCTTTAAGTGCCGTATCTCTTCAGGACATGGCCCTCCACAATTTCCTGTCCTTTGTAGCTCTTGATAGTCTCTTTGTTATTTCTCATAGACTCTGTTCTACCATTCATTTACTTAGACTCATCAAGTATGTCATGCGCTGTTTTTCTCTGTCGCTCTTGCTCGCAGTGTGTCCTGTGAGGATCAGATTTTTTAAGCCCTAATTCCTCATTAAGGGTCTCAAAAACGTCAACTATCACTTCCTGATATTAAGGATAAGCTTCCTTTTTGTTTCCATTTTCGCTAAAACATCGTCGTTGCTCACATGCAAGATCCATGGTATCCTCAGTATCCTTCTGTAGAATACATTTCTTTTGTCTCAACTCTCTTCATCTTTGAGGAGTACCCGACTAGAAAAATATCTCGTAGATTTGGCCGGGCATGTGTATTATATAGTTATAACAAAGAGCAAATTTCCTGCTGAAAAAAAAAAAAAAAAAAAATTGGGGGGTTGATATCAATGAAAGTAGACCGGGGGTGGGGAGACTCAAACCCGCGACCGGCAGACATATTCGTGTCCAATATGTTCCTGGAAATTTTAATAAGTTTAATAAATTTGTTCCTCGGTTCTTCCTTACTTTTGCAGTATAAGTAGCGCACTGGACTTTTTTACTTTTTGGATTGGTAATGGCCTAGTGGCGAACCTACTCTGAGCCGATGGATCTTTCTCCCTTTGTTATCCTTGTCTCAAACCGGAAGAGAGTTCCACAAGCGAGAAGCGGGAGAGAAAAGAAACTGTCAGAAAAAAAAAACAAACTTACAATTCCGCTGTGAAATAATGAGACCTTACCGCCAATCTAGTACTGCGCTTAAATTCATAAAGTCTAGGTTCCATACAGCAAATTATTTGTAAAAAAAAAAAAAAAAAAAAGCCACAGGGAAGCTATATTACGAGGTTGGGAAAGTGACTGGAGCCGAGATGTCAGGTGAGGACCAATGACATTTTAGCTCCTCGATCATCAGCAGAGACTGAAGAGTCCTTCGTATCGTTTCAAAAGCAAAGTGGGCTTACGGCCGTATCACGATGAAACACTTGTTCTCATACGATCACCAAAGCTAAGCAATGTTGACCCTGGTCACTATCGAGATCGGTGACCGCTTGGGTATATCGACTTGAAATTGGAAATCGAAGAACCGGGTTCCAATTACGGTCAAGTTCGTCATATTTGCTTACATGCAAATAATTTTGGGAAAGATATGACACCACTTCTCCCCCGAGATATGGATTAATTAGCGGATTTGTATCAGTAAATAATTATTATCCCCCTCCCCAAAAATCTGATCTAAAAATATTTGCTGGCTTTAAATTATCTGCAAAAGTTAATTAACCGTAAAAAAATAAATCAATGTCCTTGACATAAGGGTCCCTGAAGTAGACAGACCTAAAATGAAAATGTTTACAGTTACTGTCTAATAGCAATATATATCACAACTTTTAATATAACTAATCGTAAAATATTTCATAACATATTATAACTAAAAGTCTTTTATTCTTTAAATACACCAAAATGAAAACATCTATATTAATTTGTTCCACCTCCGTAAGATAGGTTTACATTGAAACACCGGTTTCCGTACGATCGCTGAAGTTAAGCAACGTGGAACCGAGTTAGTACCTGCATGGGTGACCGCTTGGGAATAACAGATACTGTAAGCTTTGATGTGCTGTTGGTGTAATAGATAATGGCTCGAAATTATTAATCTGATTCTCTGTAAAATAACATGAGTAAATGTTACGCACTTTTGGAAGGTGGTGATTATTTGAAATTAAAACTAAATTTTTTTCTCTTACACGTCTTTTTTTCTATATGTTAGCATCTCTTCATCTTTCTTTTTTCTCTTATTACTCTCTTCCATATCTTTTTTCTCTTTTCTTTCTTCTTTTCTATTTTTTCTTAATATTCATTTTTCTTTTTTTTTTTTCCTTCTTCTTCGTTTATTTTCATTTAACTCTTCCTCCTTTTTTTATTACGGCTTTTTTCTTTTCATTTTTTTCTTCTACTTTTTTTTTTCTTTATATTGTTTCTTCTCTTCGTCCTTCTTCTTCGTTTATTTTTTTCTTCTTTTTTTCATTCTTTCAGCTTTTCACCTTCTTCTTCTTCTTCCTCCTAATAGGATTTTTTATTCTTTATTTGCTTTTTCTTCTTCTTCTTTTCTCCTTGGTTTTTTAAATATTTTCTTTATTCGCTTATTTCGTTTTTCGTCTTTCAGTCCTTCTTATCTTCTTGTTATCGCCTAATTCGTTCTTCTTCTTTTTTTCTACTAAAACTTCCTCTCTTCTTCTACTTTCTCTTCCTCCTTCTTCTTCCTTTTTTCTTCTTTCTTCTTGACCTTCTTCTTCTTCTTCGTCGTCGCCGTCGTCATCGTCGTCGTCATCATCATCATTTATTCCTTTCTTCTTCTCCTTCTACTCTTACTCTTTTTTTTCTTTATTTGCTTTTTTTGTTCTTCTCATTCTCTACGTTGGTTTACTTTTCATTCTTCCCTCCTCCTTCTACTTCTTCATTCAGTACTACTACTACTACTATAATTTCATCCCTTCTCTTTTTTTTTTTCTTCCCATTCTTCCAGTCTTCGTCGCGCTTTTCTTCTTCTTCTTCTTCTTCTTTTTGTTTCTTAAATCTTTTTCTCTTTGCTTTAATTTTTCTTTTTTCCTTTCTCCTCTTTCTACGTTTTATGCCGTCTTCTTCTTTTTCATCTTCTTGTTTCTTAAAACTTTTCTTTCTCTTTGTTTTCTTTTTTCCTATATTCTCTTTCTTCGTATTATGCCGTCTTCTTCATCTTCTTCTTGTTCAAATTTGATTCATATCCTATTTCGCCGTCGGCTTTATAATAATACGCTTTTTCCTCGTCTTTTATGTCTTTCTACCTTATTCTTTTTATTTGTTCTTCGATAAAACCTCAACACTTTTCAAAATGTATTTGCTCTCCGAGTTTTGCTTACGTAATTGTCACAATTTTACACCACATCCGATATTTCAACTGTTTTTTCTTATTTGTTTGTTTTTTTTGTCGCCTCGAGTTATTCGATAACTCGCCGTACAATGTTTTTTTCACATAATATCGAGACATTTTTAATAATAATATTATCAAGACGATAATATTGTCGGTTTATTTATCCATTTTATGATAATGAAATGCTCTTTCTTCACATAAACTACATTGTGAACAACGAATAATAATGTATCGTTTCTTTTTCTATGTATCGTGTCCCTTCAGAAAGGGAACAATCATGGCTCCCCCCACAATCGCTTGTAGCTCTTTGTAAGGTTTGTTTTTTTTCACCATGGGTATTACCATCAAGTTGGTTAAAAGGGTTTCTTTCTGATTCTTTCTTTCCCGCTTGCTTCCATTTTCCCTTGTGAATGTCAAATTCTCCAACCCCTCTTTCCTCATTATTTCTCTTAGAAATTTTTCTTTTTGTCACATTCTGATTCTAATTGTAAGCGCCCTTTTTGTTTCTATTTTCCTTAAAATTTCCTCGTTACTAATATGTCTAGTCCACCATATTCTCAGTATCCTTCTGTAGAAACACGTTCAAGTTTCTATTTTATCTGAGAGGAGACTGCTCAACATTCACTGGCATATAGAAGGACTGATATTAAGTAAGAGCTTAGTGTTTTTTCTGTGTTTCTAATGAATTTTTACTGTGTATAATACTTTGCTTAGCTTTTAAAAGGCTTCTTTCGTAATTCAAATGTAACTTCGTATTTCAGTTTCACGTTTTCAGTCGGACTTTCTTTTAATCTTCTATCTTTTAAAACAACGTCTACTCAGTTAAAATAAGAAGGGCCCTTAAGACACAAGGGGTTACTGAGAAAGAAAGGAACAGAGAAAGCGTTAATGAGGAAAAAGGACAATAAAAGAACAGTTTACAAGGGAAAGGTGACGAGTTACATTAGATTTAAATTTCTGAAGATCATATTTGATAGGAAAGCAAGATGACCGGAAAGGTGTTCCACAGGCGAGAAGTGCGAAAAAAGAAGCTAATAGAATAGAACTTAAGGTTGCATGTAACTAATTCAATAGTAAAACGATAAGAACTAATTACCAATCTAGTAGTACGTTTAAATTCCTGCAGTAGAGGTACCAATGAAAAGAGCTCATTAGAAGAATTGACATGAAAATATTTACAGAAAAGGCAGAGAGAAACCAAGTAACGGGTGTAGGAAAATGTCCGATGTCGAGATGCCAGGTCAGGATAGATAACATTACAGATCCTTCTTTGGATTTTGTCAAGAATTTTGTGTTAGTAGCAACGCCAGACCAGATACGACAGCAATATCTAAAGCAGAGATGAGTAGTAGATTTAGAAAGTTGTATTCAGGCGAGACAAAATTATCTGGCACAACACCCTGAACCAACCCTCCAAGTATGCTGATGGAAGGAAAAATTGGTTCTTTAAGCTGATTAATAGAGATAAATGGAGAAGTTTCATTTTAGAAGCATTACAATTAGCAAGGCACTTCTTGCCCCAGTTAACAATGAATTTTAGGTCATTTTCGAGAATCAGCTCAAAGTTTTCCTTGATTAGTCTTAGCAATAAGACAAAAGTAAATAGCTGTGTCATCAGCATAAATACTGAGTTGGAAACTGGTGGCACCATAAACGCCTTTGATGAAGATATGGTTAATGATGATGATAAGAAACAATCATCATCATCATCTTGCGGCCTCAGCCGAGATTGAACTCACTACACCTTTCCAGTATTCCTTATCTGTCATAGATCCTAAAAGATCTTCCTTGGGGATCAATGTGTCTCGTTTTATCCTATCTGGAAAGATTAACTTGCGTGATCGATTGACAGATGATGGGTGCCTCTAGAGTACAAATGATGACACGAATTCATCTGTGGCACGTGCACAATGCCCGGTGAACTGGACACGTCTTTTGCAAACTAAGTTTGATACTCTTGGCAAGTCTCCATATATCATTTCTAGAGTTGGGTGGTTTCGCCATGAGAGATTAAGCACTCTTCTTAAAAGACGTGTATAACATCCATCTAAACGACGCTGTTGTTTTGCTGAGAGAGTCCAAGTTTCAGAGCCATAGAGTAAGATTGGCTCAATAAGTACGCGGAAAAGTTGGATTTTGAATTGACGAGCAAGATTGGATTTCCAGATCTTATCCATTTTGTTACAAGCAGTCCATGCTATGCCTTTTGTAATGTTGAAGTCTTTCTCAGAGTTCTTGATGTGGGATCCTAGATACTTGTAGTCTTCGACACATTTGAGAATGTTGTCTGAGAGTGTTTTGATCTCATGATTGTTGCGAATGTTAATTGGCATACACTCAGTTTTGGTTTCATTTAGGTGAAGACCTGCACAGTTAGCTGCTGATTCAAGAGAAGAAACAAAAATAGAAACAAAATAGATCCAATTAGAGATCCCTGAGGCCACCCGCGTTAATATGAAATGATATAGAAGAATTGTCAATACAACGGCCTTTATTTCACGATATCTGTAGCTTTTGAAGAAAACCAGCATGCCAAACCTTGTCAAACGCATTTGAGATATCTAAAGTCACAACCCGAGCCTTGTCTTTCATATCTAAAGCTCGACAGACTCTTTCAATAATAACACATCGGTGGTTGACCTATAAGGGTCACAATGCAGAGTCACACAAGCCACGTGTGTCCCGTGGGTTGTATTTTCTGCAGGCCGGCTTAGAAAACCAATGGGTGTTTAATCACTCCATCTAATAAACAAAATACAAACTTACGATATGAATTCACGGTATGTCTAGCCGTATTTTCACCACGCAACTCCTGTATCGATTCTTTAAGAAAGGCCTATTAATTCTTCTTTCATTCATATCACAAGTCTCGTTCATCATGGCCATTTTAACAGTAATCCTATACCTTGTACTGGATGAACTTTAATATAAAAAATAAAAGTAAATAAAAGACTCTGGGTGTCAATAATGTTTCTCTTAACTCCAGACCATGGACGATCAATTTTTTTTTTCAATATAATATATTATAGTATATGTATATTATAATTATATTTATATTATAATTATATATATTTATATTATATATATATTATATTATATTTATATAATTATATTATATTTATATTATATATATATTATATTATATTTATATAATTATATTATATTTATATAATTATATTATATTTATATTATATAATATATTATATTATATTTATATAATTATATTATATTTATATTATAATATATTTTTATAGTAATAGCATCTACAATTTTAATTCCTTCATTCGCTCAGTGACGCTATTTCCTTAGCAAATAAAATGACACTCTATTCGTTTGTTCCGCCTTTCAGATATTTACTACTAAAGAACACCATGTTGTTTGCACAGAGTTGAATCACCATCATTTGACCCCGTAGTCGAAATGTAAGGAGAAAGCTTCCCTCAGGTAGCTTTTTCCTAATTAATGCTATTTTGTGGAATAGGCTTCTGCGTGGTTGTTCTCCAGAACATTATAGTCTTAAACGCTTTAAATCAAGGTTAATTCGTAATCTATCTAGCCTAGCCTCATAATCTGCATTTCTTACTAATTCCCCTTTCATTCATATCACACGACTCATTCATCATAGCCATTTTAACAGTAACCCTTGAGCCCTGTAATGGATGAACTTTAGTATAAAAAAAAATAAAATTAAATAAAAGAC